AACTACGCGCTCGCCCACATCTCGCTGTCGACGTCATAGATGAAAACCCACGGTGATCACCGCTGAGGTGCAAGCAGGCTGCTTGCTCCTGCTGCTGGAACCAGCACGCTGCAGTTGATCACCTCGTCCACCAGGAGAAGGCTCGCCTGGGTGCCTTCCAGTGCCTGGAGTCCAGTCGACACCTTGTCGGCATCCTACCTCCTGTCGTCGGCCCATTCCTCTGTGAGGTGAGCTGCCTAGCTCAGTCTAAGTCAGCTCTATCCTGTGCCTGCGCGGCGAGATCCGATGAGGGAGCTCGTTCCCAAGCGTTTGTTTGCTGATTGATAGAACTTTGAGCTGACATTGATACAACGCGCAGAAGCCGAAGGTCTAGTGTGAGTCTTCCTTTTAGTGCTAGTCGATGTCAACGCCGACCGCGGCTGTGTCCGCTCTTCAGAGACTTCCTCAGTCTCCGCTTCCTGCGAGCTATGACTACTGTAGTCTGCTCGCCACCGCTAGTTGACGACCGACCAGTCGGACCACTCACCTGAGACACAGGCCCTGAGTGCCGGTCAACGGTGTCTTAATTGGTATGTTGTCGCTGACTCAGTCATACTGCCTGAACGAGCTCTCGCAAGGAGAGAACAGTGACCACCGATGAGGGCAGCTTCGATATCGGTTAGTAACTGAGTTACTAAAGTTTAGTTCCCTCGGAATTCTCTAGGTGTAGTTCCTCCTCTAAATCTCTTCTACTACCTACGTGTCCTCCTCGCTACTTCGCTATCCCTGAGGACACTACTGCATCGGCGGTAGTGCCTGCTCTACGCATATTATGAGAGATTCTTTCTACCTACCTCGATGGTCGGGTTCACGTTCTTAGGGGCTGCGTTATCCACAAATTTGACGCCGGTTGACAGTTGTTATATGTCAGTCCGAAGACCGTGGGGGTTGCGATTCTTCTGAGGCCCTTTTTTGCCAGGTGAGCTGGTGCATCATGCATACTTGTGCTGTGCAATGCATTCAATGCATGGGGTATGCAACGCTGTGGTTCCTACGGCGTGTTTCATTGTGCACGTTATGTTCCTCTGTTGTCCAGGATCACATTCTCGTCGATTTACTACTAGGAATCACTACCAAGAGATTCAATCAGTAAGCCCCCACTGGTCCCAGTGCCTGATCGTGGCGTGGGGGTCACTGGCCAATGTCGTTGGCCAGATCGAAACTGTGGCCGACCTGCCATCACTCATACATCCACTCTACGACTGTGATCACCGAGGATGGCTGGACGGCGTTAGTCTCCCCCTTGTCTTGATTATGTGCTATAGTATTTCTAGTGTCAATTAAAATAGACCTACTGTGAAGACGACTAATAAACCTAGAATAGGTTTATGATCGATCTTCGATCGTGGTATATATCGTGGGTACGTCATACTGTAACGGTCCTCTCGGAGATGAGGACCTCTCCTGTAACACTGGGTGGTCTACAGTATAGCCATTTGGAGCTCCTACGGTATCGGCGGCCGATAATCGGCCACACAAGTCAGTACTTGGTTCACTACCAAGTACAAAAACCGCTCGTGAGCTCGGTTTTTCCGATCACTCGTACTTGAATGCGTGAGAACTCGGAGGATAATGCTTCCAAGTTGGATCTCGGGTCTTCGTACTTGGAGCTCGGCGGAGCTGCGCACTTTAACTGGCTCCAAGAGCCAGTTGAACTGCTGTGATTCCCGAGTACAAATCCTTGGGGAAGCAGCTTCTCTGTGCTCGGACAAAAATTACGAATGAAAGTGCGACCAAAAAGGGATCAAGAGCATTGAAGTGAAGTCGGAATGTCGCTATCAGCTGTGAGAATTCAGACGAGCTGTGCTCGGATGAGAACTGAGCTGAAAGAGCTCCCCAACTCTGGACGGAAAGGTGACGGTCTGGATCGAAGCGTCGATGATTCCCGTGATATCGACTAGGGATGAGTCCACTGCAATGACTACGCGGAGCAACGGATACTTCCCAGATGGCAACTGCCGGCTTGTGCCGGAGATAGCTCTGGGAACCATCGAGGAAGTGGGTCTGGTTGAAACTATCTGTCTGATTGACTTTTCACTGAGACCACATCGATAATCACGAATGACACGAGTCTTTATTGTACTACGCCAGATGGATCAGCTGGGGACGCCGCATCCCGGACGCGGAAACTGGAGAGATGTTATTGGGCGTAGCGATGAGCATGGGCAGCTCTCGATGACGTCGGCGAAAGTCTTACGGAGAATCTTGCGCAACAGGGCGCGGCACATGATGTCATACCCGAAGAGAATCGGACCCATCGCTCGGAACTTAGCATGTTACCGAGATGCCAATTGATATCGTTATCTGTGAAACGACCGTCTGCTGAATAAACAACCAAAGTCACCTGTGGAAACATCTTATACGTATCTCACAACCCCTGTACGATCCATATGGACTGGGCAAAACCAACAGATATTCTTATTATTCGATAACAATGTTATCATAACGTGTTCAAAGCTGTTGTGAACCACAACAATCAAGCCACACATTGAATTCCTGACATCTACGACACTTCAACAAAAGATATTATGCTCTCGATAATTCTACTGCATGCGACCAAACATACATGCATACCAGTTCGATGTGAAAATCTGAGGTTTTCAGGGGAAAGAATTAAGCTCAGAGCGTGAGGATGAACGAATTCAATGAATTTCAAGTCATCACAAAACGCATCATAGCTCTGCAATGGTGTACCACTCATAGCCTATGAGTCATGGGTCGAGACGCTCAATTTCGATCAGGTGCATCAACGTTCGGTTCGTTTATCAACCTTCCATTTCCTGCGGGGACAAACTTCGAAAGCATCACCCATTGTGTCGCGTGAAAGTCACTGACGAATGTCGTCATCAGGGAGGACTAGAGCGATGTTTGATTATACTATTAGTCCATAATAATCATAACGACAGTTGAAACCTAAGTCCGCAGGAACAGTTCCTCTCAGACGTTCAGTTCAGTTTTGTACGAGATAGAGTTTGTTCTCCAGCATTGTGACGTTAGAACAAACGACCAGACGAAAGAGAAACCCATATTATAAGAGGTCTCAGCATGAGAAGCATAGCAATAGTTCCGTCTAGATGTGAAGTAATTCAAATTCTTCAACTCCCTCCTAGTTCTACCCACTCAGCATGCCACTATGTTCTTGCTGCTCCTATTGTGTGGGCTTATACGGCCAAATGCATCGGTTCTCGTGAATCGCAGAAAGTAAGAACTGGAACTCACGTCAGACAAGAACACTGAACTTCGGACGCTCGTGATATCGGGGATGGGGAGTGAGGATCTTTGATAAGGGCCCCACTTTTCGTACATAGCACCACTCAGCCCTTACTAGCCCGCCGTGCATCCCATCTTCACGTGCCCAACTTCCCCCGTGAATGTCGCTGGCTCACAATTCAGAAGATGGTTCAAACGTTATGGTTGCAACTCTGTCATGCCTCGTAAACATCTTTAAAATGGAATGAAACGACATTGTGTCGAGATTTCATGTCTCGTTTGATATTTCTCGGGCTGGGTCGTGTGGCGTGATTCACGCCGCGTGAAGCTTGCTCCATCTCCATTGCCCGAATGCTGGTGACACGCGCGCAAT